AAGAGTGAAAAAAAACCCCGAAAACATTAACTTTTTGTTTAATTTTACAAAAAGAATTATAAATAAATAAATAAATAAATAAATAAATAAATAAATAAATAAATAAATAAATAAATGAATCAATGAATAAATAAATAAAATAAATAAATAAATGAATAAATAAATAAAATAAATAAATAAATAAATAAATAAATAAATAAATAAATAAATAAATAAATAAATAAATAAATAAATAAAATAAAATAAATTAATAAATAAATAAAACTTGCTTATGAAAACCCTTTCACCCTTTCTAATTGTAAAGCGCGCAGTAATATTTGATTATTTATCAGTGAGTGACACAGTTCAATACACAACTTATTTCCGCCATCTTAAACTGTATTGCAGCATTATTCTTTTGATTTTTTATTATGAAATAAATATCCACATATGAAGTTTCATGTAAATATCTCAAAGGCTTTTTGAGTTATGCTCTGGACAAAAATTAAGTTTGAAAATTAAGAAAGGGCAATAATTGAAAAATTATACAAGGTAGAGTTATCATTCTTGTGCAGTGCTCTCCTCCTCAATATGATCTATCCACCTATGAAATTTCAAATTGATACCTCAACTACTTTTTTAGATATGCTCCTGACAAAAATATATGCGACGGAAGGACGAACGGAGACTATTTCTATGTTCACCGCCGCCTCGGCGGAGAATAATAAAAATAACTTAAAGTTATATTTTGAAATGAGAGATACTGCCCTGAGTTTTTATATCAGAACAAAAGGATATACATTCATAAAGCATATCATGGTCTAAACTGTCATTCAATGTCCAGGACATTTCAAAACAGAACAATTACTCTAACAGGTTCGATCGTATATTCGTCTGAGGAATACTAACTGCCTACGTAAAGAACGGTAGAATGCGTTGGCTTGCACGGAGGAAACCTCCCCAGACTATTCCTTTGAATAGAGGCTCAGATATGCCAATAAAAATTTAAAATGCATACAGCTCTATAAAGAGAAACTTCTGTTTAAGCAAAATATTATGTTAAAGAAAAAGTACAATATAGTGTTATATTTAATGTAAATGGACTTGAAACCATGTATTACTGTGTCATAATAACCACTATTATATCAATACTATAAAACTTATACTGATCTCGTAAAAAAAGTCAGAATGTGATAAAGAGATAGAAAACATATTTATCATTAATAGCTTTACTTAATTCAAGTCTTTAGGCACTTGTTTCAAAATTGTAAGTACACATTATGAAATACAGCTATGGCGTTTCGATTGTACACTATTGATGACATCCATCTTAAATAAAGCTGAATTTAGAAATAGGAAAGCACAACAAAAGCAGAAGGAAATATTCCAGGAGGGAAAGGATGGGTTAATAATTTTTGGATGGAAATAAATTCATGGCACAATTTCAAGAGAAGGCACATGAATTGTAATGGAGGATAACTAGTATAAATATGAACATAATGACATGCCAGGATTGTCTCACTTCTAATAGACTGAATTAATGAAATACCAGATTTCGTAAAATGTTTATTACACAGAAACAATTTTAAGAATTTTTATTTTTCCCACCAGTATGAAGGCGTGATACAGTCTGGACATGAAAATCTTGTGCACCACATGGAGGTGTTTCACTGCGAAGTAAAAGCCAATGAAATTATACGATTTTTCAATGGGCCTGGCCTAGCTGAGGGGAAACCCCCAGAGCTCGAGGCGTGCAGGAAAGTAATCGGTGCATGGGCAATGGGAGCGACGGTTTGTACAATTGTTAACCTTATAAAAGGGTCATTACATTATTTTTTTTGTTCGTGCATTAACATCTGCAAAAACAAGGTGACGCATTAAAAGCTCGAGCCCGAAAATCGGGACATTAAGTTAGTTCGAGGACTTTTGCAGATGTTAGTGTCATAAAAGATGTATTGGACCTAGTCAATTTCTTGCATACCAGTATACATCTGATTAGGTTATTTGAAGTTTTCTTATTTGTTCTGCGTATTAAAATATATAATTAAACATACATATATATTTTTCACGCACGAGTGCAATGCCATTTTTGTTTTGATAATGCTAGTACCGGGGCCGTCATTGCAATCAACAGGACGTCATGCATATTAAAAAAAACCCTTACAACAAGGGCGCGTGCTTGCATGTAAACATTTGTTCTTCTCGGTTAATGTATACATTAATGTAGACCTTTATGAACATCGAACGTATGGCGGTGCGAGTGAGGTGAAATGGTGCGATACGGAATAATTGCGGATTTTAGACTGTAAACACATGTCAGATGAGTGAGTATATTTTATAAAAATGTAACGTCATTGTCTAAAAAAAATTGAAATTTTTCTGTGATGTTTGGGGGGTTTGATTACATGTTTTTTCAAAAATCAAAAATTTTGGTACAAAGATAAAAAAGTTTTTTGATTTTTAATTGGGCAGTAACTGTTTTTTGTGTCCGTGACAAAGTCATAAGATTAAAGCTAATATCGTGAATCTTAGTCGCTATTTCTACTAACAACTGATTAAATTACTCATAATTGAGCTGCAAAGCAAAAACTACGGTGCTAAAATCTATATTTACGCATTGTGTTCAAAATATCTATGTGTACGAATGGTATTAGTGCGGTAAGGTATCATGCGTACAATAGGAAATACGGAATATTGTAGATATATGCAAACTAGTTAAAAAGTTTGGTGTTTTTTGTCTTGTCATTTATGGTTAACATGTTGTTGACATAACTATTCAAATATATGTTCCATTATGTCTGTTATTGTATTATTTTATAAAAATGCCAGAAAGACGGTTACTTTTGAAGTAGCAAATACCGCAAACACTTTCTAGATTCTTCAATTTTGACCATTATATAGAAATATATCTTCCACTCCGTATGCACTATGTTATTCAAACAAAAATTGCAACATTCAACAAATATTTCAAGCAAACCTGTTCTTATCCACATTATTTGTCACCTACCCCGCCATTATTCCGTATCGCACCATTTCACCTCGCTTAAAAAGCATTGTACAGCTTAACGTTCGACCCCCTGTTATATGCAAAATATTTTATGTAACACCAATAATAATGTAAAGATATTGACGTTTTTCGTAGAAAATACAATTTGTTTAGTTTAAGCATTTCATATAATTAGACGTAAACCTTTCTGTATATGCCATTTTGATACTCGTTGTAAAATATTCACATTTAACTTCAAACATTCTTGTGCTGGGAAGCAATCCTTATTATTATTTTTTGTTCAGTTAGCTTCATTGTAGATTTTACCTATGTCATATTTTCATATCGATCTGATTTTTTCATATTGTTAAACTTGCCAAAATGCAATAATTCATAATTTTGTTCTATGCCCAGTATAGATATTATTTAAATGACAGTTTACATTTAATAATACATCCACATACTGTTGGGTACTGGTTTGCATTGTAAGAAAATGTGAATTCAATAATATTCACAGAATGATATTTCACGCAAACTATAGGAAAAACATTATTTTTGATACCTCAATAGGCAATGGTATTACCCGAGGAAGCGGGGTTTCCGCTAGGTGGCGCTGATTTTTCACGATATGTGCTATTGGAGGTTCATTATAACAATCCAGATAAAGTAGCAGGTGAGAACATCATATATAATTTTAATTATAAAATTTTATACATAGATCTGACTGTTAGGCCAATAAGCTAGAGCATCCAAGCATACAGACATGTCAAAATTAAAAAAAATATTGACAAAACCTGATAATCTCTTGATATACCAGTATACAGATCACGTCGCAGTTATATACGAACGCATGAATATATGATCATATATTTAACTTATAACGGCTATTTCCCAATTTTGTAATCCTTCTATAAATGTCATTCTTACTGGTATTACTTCTTTATCTTACGAGTCTAATGTATCTATTTTTACGACTATTAAATACACCCGAGAAACGAAGAGCTTTTAGCGCGTACCCCAAGTCTTATTTACGCTTGTTACATCTAAACATACTTGATAGCTACTAAATCATTGCATCTTTGTTTACTCATACTGCTCTATTATTGTTCATCCATTTCTTCTTTTCTTCTCATTTTTGTCAATATTAGCTGGTAGTTTTTTTGCGTAATTGCATAATTGTACTTTATAGCCATCAATAAAGATTTTTTTTCAATCATTTGTCTCCATTTTAACGCAGTTGTCTTTTCGATTTCACATTCCTTGGTGAAAATAAACGGCGGTTTTTGACTAAATTAATCTATGTCATATAATAACTTATTTTTTACCTCCATTTTGTTTCATTTTGCTTTTGCATTTTTCCTTATGGCCATTTAGTTTAGTATTTATTAATTGCAAAATACCTCTTTTTTGAAAATGTCTTTGATATATTTTCAACTAAATGAATTTCGTGCATGATAATGGTATGTAATTTATATATGTAAATTGTTTAAACTGGGACAGGACACTCAAGAGCTTTCATAGCTTTCTGCCCTATCCCAAATGTATTGTGTAAATATTGTTGATTATAAGAATAAACTATGTTTAAACCAATTACTCAGTATCGAAATTTTTACTAGAAAATACTTGTATTTAATAGCTTATTAATTTCAATGCATGCAAAGGTTTGCTTTGAATCATAAAATTAATGTTATTTCTAGGCATGATAGACGCTTCAGGTATTCGTTTCTATGTGACGTCGTCGTTACGTCATTATGACGCCGGAATTATGGAGCTAGGTTTAGAATACACAAATAAGATGGCTATTCCCCCAAGGCAAGACAACTTCTCTTTGACCGGCTATTGTATCGCGGAATGTACGAAAAAGGTAAAGCATTGATTTAGTTTTAATGTTTCTAAGAAGACAAATTTGAAACTGTTTCCTGTATTTGCTGTACATTACGCTGGTACTTTTATGGTCATATGGAAAACTTTTCCGCTTTAATTGTTAAGAAAGACTTCAGGTGTCCCTCTGATCATTCTTTCATGCTCGAACGAGAATTTATAAAGAACTGTCAACGCTGTGTAACCTTTCTTAAGAGAGTAGATATTTTCAAGTCTGTCAGATTAAACATAATCGATTACAATCCACGACTAACTAGATTTTCTTCTATTTTTGTACACAAAGGTACACATGTTTTATGTTTCAAATAGATAGCTTGCATTCTTTGATTCATTAAATTTGAGGATGTAAAACCTCAGTCACAGATAATTCTTTAAATGTCTTGTCAATCCAAACTGTAAGTTACTTAGTAAATGTTTCTAACAATATAACAGGAATTGGCATACATTTGAACTTACTGTTTAGTGCATAAACAAGCTCTTTTAATTTCTCCTCAAATCTTTTGTCACTCTTGAACTTATATGCTGTAATTGTATCATTAACATGTGATCGTCGTTGTTAAAAATAGCTCATGTTATAACTAAGATGGTTGGGAGTCCATGTAACCTTTGGACTATGTACAAACATTAATTTCAATTTTGATAATAATTTAGTCAATATCTTTATTGCTACTGCATGAATTGTCTTATAATCAAATATATATAACTCTACATAGAAAGCACTATTTCTGAGTGTTACCGAAAATACTTAACACGTTAGGCTGATGATAGATTTTTAAAAACCAATTAAGCTTCAGAAATTCTAATTAATTTTTCATTGTTAAGGTTTCCAATTATTTATACATTGACTATATATTAAGATAATAGTGGTTTGGAGTGGTTAAGGTCGTTGACTTCAAAACACTTGCCCCTCACCGCTGTGGATTCGAATCCCGTCAGACACTTTGGATTCTTTCATGTGATGAAGCAATACAGCTAGCTTATGGAACGTCGATGGTTCTTCTCAGGTACCTGTTCGTGCCTGAAATAATGCACGGAAGGCACCTGAGCTCTTCCTCCACCAGTTAAGCTGGCACGTCGCCAAATGACATGTACTGTGTCGGTGAGACGTAAAACCCAAAAGAAACAAAAACAAACAAACAAATATGAGATAAACTATTTTTTGCTCTTTTTCTCTTTGGCAAACGGTGTAATTATAATAATTTAATATGTTGTATATAAGTCTTACTATATAACACATTAGCGTGTTCAGTGCTTCTTTCTGCAACAACTAAAAAACTCTGAATATATCATTAAAACATTATTGAACATGTATTTGACCTTTCTAAAGAAGTAAGGAAATTATTCATTTCTGGGAGATAATGTGCCTTTAAAAATGTGCACGGATAATTTGACTAATTCAGCTTGGAATAGATAAGAGGAACTTCAAATAAAGTAGGAAAGAGCAAAGGAAATTGATTCCTATGTTAAAGTGTTTTTTGCAATTTATTCGAGGAAAATCCATTCAACTTTTATGGGTGTTACTAATTAGTAATTGCACGTGCACACTTTCCAAAATACACGTTGATTAGCTACTAGCGTTGATAAACTTAATTAAGTTTTAGCGTGTATATGTTAATGCAAATCTTGTTTCGTAAACAATTAGCAAGCTTAGTATATACAAATTAATTAGATAAGATAAGTATGTTCCTAATTTTGAGCAAATTTTGTAACATTATTTGTGATTTTCTTCAGGGGTTGCCGCCAGAAGGCATTTTCATCTATGCATCTCAGCTGCATACCCATTTGACGGGACGCCGCGTTTACACAAAACACGTGCGTAATGGCGTCGAACTTCCGGAATTAAATCGAGACAATCATTATAGTCCACATTTTCAGGAAATCCGGAGACTTTCGACTCCTGTGAAAATTTTGCCTGTAAGTTTTTAACACTCAAAGTCTGAGAAATGCTGAGCTTATATTTGAATAACACCACTATGGTTAGAACGAGCGTCAGTCGGAGAAATAAGTGAAATATCTGATATATTATTACATAATATATTTTCAAATTTAATTTACAAAAAATGATTTTCAAAATTTTGTTTACATGTCCTAATTTTAAAATCATTGTTATCGTTTTGTTTGTTATTGTTAAATTAGAAGCCAAAACTAAACTTGAGTACATGTGTTCTGTTGTTTGTATTATCATCATCAGTACAATTATCATTATCATTGTTATGTTAATGATAATGATGATGATGATGATGATAATGAGGATTTTTATCATCATATTTCCTTCTAAATGATATTATGTTGCCTGAATGATTTCCGTTAAGTGAATTTGGATTTTATATGGATAAATATGTCCTTTGTTGTGGGTTATAAGTTACGTTCAAAATCAAAAGCTAATAGTTTAAAGAGAAAAAATATGAGCTATGCAAAGTGATGAGAGTTATAACTCCGGTGGCTCAGAGCTATATCGTTTCAACTACATATATATTTATGAGAAGTAAATAAAACAGTGCTCATGTCACATCTCCGCCACTTCATATAGCAAAGATTGTCTCTGAATTTGTATGCAAATTACTTATATTAGATAAAAGATTTAATCATTCTCTAACCAATTATTGTGCTATTTCAAGTTGGTTGGGGCGTTCGTGGCCGAGTGGTTAAGGTCATTGACTTCAAACCACCTGCCCCTCACCGCTGTGGGTTCGAATCCCGACAAGGACTTTGGATTCTTTCATGTGAGGAAGCTATCCAGCTAGCCTACGGAACGTCGATGGTTCTACTCAAGTGCCCGTTTGTGCCTGAAATAATGCACGATAGAACCTGAGGTCGTCATCTGACAGAAAGCTGGAACGTCGCCATATGATATTGACTGTGAAATAAAGTTGCCAGTAGGTTGGCGTATTTTCTTTTCGCGCAAGCTCTAACTGCTGTAATGCAGCATATATTTTTTCAGCTCAGAACCTTTAGTGTCATTTTGAATCCATTTTACCAATTACAATTAATCAGCTTTAGCCTTATACACTAATAATTATTGTTAATCCTCTTCAGGGCGATGCTCTTATAACAACATGTGAAGACAGAACAACGGATAGAGAAAATGCTACTATAGTAAATTTACCTTTATAATAAACAAAAGGAAGAAATGAAAAAAATGTAATGACCTACATATCAAAATAAAGAAACACATTGTTCAATCTGATTAAAATCAATTTCTTACTAACACTGCGCATTAGGTTGTCACCTTCTCGTTACCTTTCAAACAGCAAATCATTGGCGACCTTTCACAATTTTGAAAGCGATGCGGTATCTAATTTTAACAGTTAGAAAAGCAAAATTGAGTAAGTAATTTTCACGATTTCGTACGTTGTCCATATAACCTGAAGATAATCTGGCAAAACCATCTTGTCCATAAAGAAGGGAGTCAATTTTTTTCCAATTAATTTGTTTCAAATTACTTCAAACATTTGTTTCTATCAAAAACAACAATTTGTTTTACGTCCATTTACAACGATATTTTGATGCCTGTCCTAATGCCTATGTTTAAAGGACGGATTGATTGCATGACTATAAAAGCTTTCTCGAAAAATCCGGATCACAATGAAAGCGAAAGAATGACGGTGGCAGTCAGATCTACATGCAAGAAATGAGTAAAGAAGATTTAAGTTAGTTCCTCAGTCAGATTGAAATATGTTAATATCAATACAAAGGGATGGTAAAGTGGGGATGTTGAACTTTTTGGGGGAAGGATAGTATGGGTTTCATATGTTTTTAAGGGAAGGAGAATCTTTTTTCTAGCCTCAAATTCAACGTACACTTAAGATACGACTTAAAACCATACTTGAAGAATCAATATTTTGTCCTTTTCATTTCGATGATACTTTGATGATTGAATGACTTTGCAATACTTATATCTTTTTGTTTTCTGATATAAAGAGTAGGAAATTAGTAATGACCATTTGTACGTGTTTTGTCTTCCATATTTCAGGGTGGTTTCGCTATAACAGATGAAATGTGCGTTAATTATGTGCACTATTACCCATCTACCAACCTTGAAGTGTGCAAAAGCTCTGTTTCTACACGAGCTTTGAAGGAGTTTTTTTCCTTTATGAACAAGTAAATACTATATTTTTTGATAATATGGAAAGCAAGAACAGTCAAACATGTGAGATGAACAAAAAAAGTGCAACGAGAAATAACTGTTTTATTGAACGACTAATAGTTATTTTATAACTTATATTGAAGCCCAATAGACCAATGTCAATGAGAAGAAAATTGATTGTTAACTTTTTATTGGCTGTTTGTAAATCTATTAAACTTAAATTAATGAAAATTTAATAACTTTACCATTATCCCAGACATGCCGAAAATTACATTACATTTAAAGAATGCATATTTTTCTTCTAGTTGGGATTTTGACAAAACCTCTCCTGCCAAGGGAGATAGAGCTAATTACCAGTCCATTAGATGGACACCACTAACAACGCTCTTGCTAAAGACAATGTATATGACGTCACCAATATCAATGCAGTGCAATCAGTCTGATGGAAACAGATTTCCGGTAAACTGTATCCTTATGAAGCTACAGAATGACGTCAACAAAATGATCTCATTACTATAACTTAAGCAGTGTTATGTTTATTATATGACCTTTTTTTGTTCGGTTGTGTTCGGTTGTGATGGAAGCTTAAGCCTACTAAAATAGGATACATCTGGATGCAAGCGTGACGTTTCTTGTACAACGAAACAACCATTTTTCACTGAACGGATTTGAACCCACGGGGTCAGCAATCCTATAACTATACTAGTCGGAAGCGTTATTTACTCGGATGTTATCATTATATGTAGTTTCCACGCGCATACACTAGTTGTCTACAAAAATAGTTTTTATCAATTATATCAATACTCGTAAATAGTTAAATGAAATTTATAATAAATGGGCAAAAATATATTTGCCATGCTCATTTGATCTTTTATATGTTTTCTGTTTCAAATATAACGATACATGCATTTAAAGGTATGACATCTACTTAACATTTAGATAGATTCTAAAACAAGGCTTATAATACTAAAAGGCTAATCTCTTGTTAAATTATTTTAGCGGTTTGAAAGGTCTTCAAACTCTATAACATTGTTCAAAATTATATAGATATAAGGATAATCTAAACATTTTTTCATGTAAAACTAGACTAAATAAGTACACATTAACAGAAAATATTTCCGTTGTTCTTGTTTTATCTGTTTGTTTAAAAAGTCAAGTTAATGTTTCAGGGATTGGTTTGTTTGTTTTGTTGAAGAGAAGAATTTATTTCCTCGAATATGCTAAATATTATTTTATTCAACAGGGAGCATGGGAAGATGTACAATCGACAAAAATACACCAAACACTGGTATTGCCTACAAGACACTGCAAAGGATACAAACAAACCCTCTAAGCAACAAAACTGACAACAACAACAACCGCAACAACAGCATCATCAACAATAATAACAAACAACAACAACAATAAAAGAAAAACTTTAATTGTTAAGACAGCATGTATCTTCTATACATGAGCTTGTAAAGCTTTGATCTATACAAAAAAAAACAGTGGAAGAACGACTCTCCTTGTCTCATCCCGTCTCCAATGAAAAACAGTTGTTTTTTTATTCCATTGAAAGTTTTATTACAGTTATAGAAACAGGAACACTTTCCTTTTATAAATCGTATTTGAAATTCAATTGCACACACATGATGGAAATCATTCATGAAAAAATGATATTGTTTTACAATAAAATTGATATTGTATTATCAATTTGAAAACTAAACTTGATTAAAGATATACTATGCCAAACATTTAGTAAAATATTTTCATCGAAGAAATTTATTAAAGCCTATGAAATTCTCACTGAATATTTTAATAGTTCTTAATAGTTTTGACATATCAACTTTGTGTGAAGGCAAAGCATGTTTATTTCATATTTACAAAGAAATTATGTCAATTATCAATATTTTCTGATATCAAAGTTGAGCAAACTATATTTTCAAGTTTCCCTCTACTTGTTTATAGACATCGAAACTTTAGCTTTTCAGTATACAAATTGTTATTTCAAAATTTAACTTTGTTATAATTGGATGTATTTCAAGTCTTTTTCATTTAAAACACGTTTACAATTATAACAATTTCATAATTGTTTTCACAATGCGTTGTGCTGCAACACGTTTTTTGTCGCACTCAAATACATTTTATCTACTACTCGTATCCTTTAGGGAAGGGTCCTTCTTTACATTCCCTTGTATTTTACATTTTGTCTCAAGTTATCGTTGCTTTGTAAAATCTATTGATTTACATCAAATGGTGCGAGACAAATTAGAATTATTCCAGCGGTTCTCTGAGGTGGTTCTTTTTTTAATGATTATCTAGATCATACATATCTTGATTAGGGTGTTTAAGTTTATAAATCAAAGTTATTCAATTAAATTTTTATATTTGATCCAATTACCAGCATGCTTCTGTGAATTTCTTAGAAATAACGAGACAGTGAAACAGTGAACAGTGGGTCAATATTTCATTACAATGTATATCTTTCTGGAATGAACAGATAAGTCGTATTTCTCATCCTTAAAATAAACTAACATCTTTATAAATGCTGGTTTAAGGTTATGCTTATTTCATTATTCTTTCGCGAGAAATTGAATTTGAACATTTATTGGATCTATCTTTTACAAATTTGACATACCTTTTTCAATAGTTAAAATATACTGAAATAATTGAAAGTCTACATAATTGCTCCACATGTCCTGAGAAAAATCACTTTTGTAGAAAAACATGTCAATCAAAATATCTAATTGAGACACAAACATACATATTTCGGCTTAAATTTTGGGAAATAGTCTTAATACTTTAGCAGTCAAAATTGCATGCACAATGAAATCACTGGAAATCATACACCTTAAACGAAGCCAATGTACTGCGGATTTGCGTCGAGTAGGCTTTTTATCGATCACATAAGTCAAACATGTTTTTAACAACAATAAAAGTGCGCGAATATCGCGGAAACATTTTGATAGAATCTATACAGGAGACAATGTTTTATTCTGCTACTGTCTTTATCATCAGCTCGATAATGCCTTGCCGGATACATATGATGACGTAACATGGTTGCCATCAAACAAAACTACATATAGATGCTATTTTATTGGGGAAAAAGAAGAATGTCAAAACCATTTAATTATTCCAAAAACATGATTAAAAGCAGGATAACTCAAAAACATGGTTGCTGTCGGGATGGAGAAGGTTTTGCTTTTTCCGGTTCGCTGCGAAAGTGAATCTCGGCTCGCTAAGGCTCGCTAAGATACATTTTCTTGCTCGCCCGATAAATTTTTCCCATTTTCGACATAAAACCATGTACTTTCTTTTTTGCCTTTAAAAACCTTTCCTTTAAATAAACCAGCCTTATTAATACGAAAAACAATAGTTTTTTCAAACGGAAATTCACGACCCTGAAGTTAAGAGGTAGACATTGTAACCACTAGACCAACTCTTCAGTGAAATGGTTTATATTAAATCTACTCGACATGACTGGCACAGAAATATTTTAGCGAATAAAAAATTAAATGTCGGTTTCATATAGTACAGGGATGTACAACAAGAGCGTGTAACAGTATTCATTCAGTAAACGTATAAAGTATACACAAGAATAAATTGAATCTTGTCAAAACATGACGTAGCTTCTGCATTTTCAATACATATGTATTTAAAAAAAAAGCTTCAGCCAGGATTTTTCTATTGTTTGCTATTGTTTGCTTAATGCTTATATCTATGTATCAATTACTCATCAGCCAAACAAGAATTGATAAAGGCTTTGTATGATCTTTCATTAATAGACTCGTACCCTTGTCCAAACCTAGCGAAACGAATTTAAAAAAAAAATGAATATCTCATTTTTTCCATAACATGTATAGCAAAATGAACGAAATATGATTTCTGTACACAATATAGACCTGCTTGTTATTGAGTTTGTTTCACATGTTTAGAAACCGAGTATAAATTATTATTGTAAAATATGAAAAAGAAAATCAACAAGGAAATGACCGCATTCAATGAACGCATCCCCCTAATACATTACCACCGGCAATGAGCACAGCAGGAAACCAAACAGCTAACACAATTTGGTATATAAGGATTATCATGATTGCAGGCAACCATATTTATAATACAACACAGTTTCTTTCTTTCTGTAAAGTACAAATTGATTCTAAAATCAGCCGTCTTTAAAAGTATAACACTAAAACTCAATGTTTAGAATATTCTAAATAAGGCAAACATCGTTTGTATTCAATCTTCTGATTCGACGAGCCGCATTTTGGCTCAACATGATTTTACAGGTTTTGTCCATATTTGACGTTTTCTGCCTTGCTCATATTCTATTGGAATTCAAAGGAAGTATCGCAGAGACATGAAAAAGTATTTTGTTATCTAGGATAAATGTGTTTGATATGCACAGATACAGATGTTTTGAGTTAGAGAAAAGGAATATGCAACTGGCAAATATTTGGATACCTTTATAAGCAGAACTTGAAATTTCAATATAACGTAATCTATATATTTTTGAGTTGGTTGTTTTATAACAACACAAATGTACAATTTTATTTCGAAACTTACCGGTGAAGTTTGTTGACAGATAAAAAAGATGTGCTAAAATTAGAGAATGTAAAGAACTGATAAAATTTTAAAGTCAAGTAAAACAACTAAGCAAAAGCTAAAAATGATAACTCGTTGAAAATAACTGAGACACTTTTCCAGATAATGTCTATGTCTGATCTTTGAGAAAACAGTTTTCAGCAACCGAAGGCATTCGGAAATAACTGATTTACGAAATATATAAACACTTGAACATTATCAAAAAATAATTCAACATTATGAGAGAATTAGAAAATTTCTGAAAGTATCAGATGAAAAAAATGACATAGTAATTAAAACAAATAAGAAGACAGGAACAGCTTTGAAAACCCTTTGGACATCTCGCCGATTTCCAATTATCGCCAGTGACCAAAGTTTGATGGAAATAAACGAAAAATTGTTACTGCTTTAACACAACTGACACAAGTTTCAAAGAGCTGACGATGTATGTCACAATTATTTGGTCTTCTCTTTCCTTCGTTTACTTCATTATCAGCGCATTTCAAGCTGTAACTCTGTGGTCATTGTATCAGTGCAAACGTATTCCAGCCAAAATTAGGTATACACACATCAGCTTTCTTACCAGCGACTTCATCATTTCTGTTAGCATATGGACCAGTCAGCTTGCAATTATCGCATCTTCAAGCAACTACGTACATGCTGTTAGAATAACAATTATACGGACATGTCAAACGGTGTACTGGGCAACATTAGTGCATATAGCATTAGATCGAGCGGTGGCTGTGATAACACCATTTCGTTAAACAATTACCTAATTACAAAACAAAACACATGAAAATTTGGGTTTGTCTTGATTGGAATTACCAAATGGTTCGTTACATGTTTGGCTTGCATTTTTAACACCGTGTTCTTTGGAAGAACAGTCTTGGGCACATTCAGATTCTAATTCTAAAAACGTGTAAAAATGCACGGGGAAATTTTTTGGGGCACTTTAAAAATTTTAGTTAAAATTCTGTCTATTTTTTTAATTTCGGCACAAAAAAAAACCCCGTGGTTGTTTTTTTTTCAAAAAAAAAAAAATCCAAACCAGAAAAAGGGGTTTAATCGTATTTTTCAAAGTTTTCTTATTTACTACTAAAAATTTTCAAAAATTAAAAATTCGTTCAATTTCCTTTATTAAAATTGAAATTTTTTTTTGGAAAAAAAAGTTTTTAACAAGGCGGTCAATTCAAATGTTTGGGCATTTTCAAACCTGCAAACAAAAAACATATTGGTTAAGGGAAGGGTTAAAAGACATTTTTTAAAAAAAGCAAATTTTTAAATTCAAATGAAACAAAATGTAAATATAGGACAGATGTATTCCCTTTCAACCCTGTGAGTACACTGGAACTTAAGTAACTATTATATATTTTTACATTAATATTGACGGAATGTTCGAAATATCGTTACTGTACGGTTGGCACCGGTTACTTTTTATGAAATTTACAGAAAACATCAATGAGTCAAAACAGAAGAAATACAAGTACAATTTGACTTACTGTTATAATGCACTTGTTCGAATAATGCTGTACAAATTATATACAGCTGACTCATACAATGAAAAGTCAATGATGTTATGATGAGTCACGCTTGAATAATTTAATCTTGATTTGTTGACCACCTTATCAAGCAATCATACCCAACGACTTCTCTCAAATCTTGTCGATTAAGAAATGTAGATAATGCTTAAAAAAAGAATCTTAGGACACGATAAATTGTATATTGTGCGTAGAATAACGTGTCCGTAAATTGCAGTTTCAATGGAAAAAGTAATTACAATTATAACACTTAACTTGAAAAAAGTATGATTAAATTAACAAACTTTGCGGCAAAAAAAAAATTGGAGAATTTTATACCACATGATAACAAGATGAACGACAAAAGACATTAAAAAGGAGCGCCTACGGGGCACGCGACCCACATCCTACATATAGAACTGAACTATTATGCCGAAACAAATGTGTAGGCTCCTACATCGTTAACAATTTTTGGCTACTAAATGATACAATGGCAAACATTTTGTAAATAGTGTAAGATATATATGTTTACTTTTATTTTATTATAATTTTTCTTCATTGATAATGTCAATTTTAATGCATAATAGCCTAATTGTGCCATAAGTTTTAGGCCGTAAGACAAACATTATGAATGACTTCTCAATAAACATTTTATCTTGTTTCATAGACTTTAGAAAATCTTACTTCTTTTAAATTCAATCTCCTGAGAAACTTTTTAAGAATATAATGAAATTACACGATTTAACCACAAAGTGTCATTGCTTATCTGCA